TGAATTATGAAATGTTTTGCAACAATATGAAGGTTTGTTGCTAAATCCGAGAAAAGTGGTATACGATGGAAATAAAACATTCATGGGAATTAATGGAGTGGTTTGACACCGAGCAATGGTTTGACATTGAGCAAGGAGTTAGAAAAGGATGTATGATACAGTACTGGATAATTTTCATCCAGTCTCCAACCTTTCCTTTTAGGGAAGATTTTGAGAAAGTGGTAGGTACACAACTTCAGGGGTCACTAGAAGAAGTGGATTATCTGGATCTTTTCAGTCAGGTTTCAGGACAGGCTATAGTACTGGGACAGCACTGCTCATGTTTGTGGTTGATCTTTGGAAGGCTTGAGATAGGGATGGTACATCCACCCTTGTTTTCTAGATCTCTCAGCAGCTTTCCATACCATTGATGTGGTATCCTTCTGGACCAGCTTTAGGGGTTGGGAGTGAGAGCTACTGTGCTGCAGTGTTCCCCTCCTTTCTCCAAAGCCAGTTCCAGTCAATGTTGGTGGATATAAATTGAGTGCATGTTATGGGAGAAGAACAGATAGTCAACTCAACAGCAACTGTTGTGTGTGTGCAAGTTTGCAAAAAGATGCCTTAAGTATTTCATTTAAGAATTTGATTTTGTAAAAAAAAAACAATGTTCAGAATCTCAGGATTCTATGCCAATCATTAAAAAAAAAAAACATTTTCATGTTATGTAAGAAAAATGGGATTCTAGTCTAGTATGTTTTTTTATTCTCTTTCAAGATTTACACTTACAATCAGAACTGCTGGGAATTGTTTCACTAAAAACTATTGGCACAGAAATACAACAGGTAGCCCAACAATCAAGGGCACATTTAATCCAGCCAAGTGAATACAAAATATCAGAAATTAGGCAGATAACGTCTGGGGAGAAAGTATTCTAAGTGAAAGCGTGTGGGTTCTGGCCATGGTGAATTCTTCCTTGAGTGAGGGGGTTGTTCCTGCACCTCTTCAGGAGGCTTTGGTTCACCCCCTCCTCAAGAAGCCACCTCCTTCCTGGTTCACCTCCTTCCTCCAGGGTCAGTTCCAGTTGGTGGTGATCAGGCAGAAGAGATCCCACCCCTGCCCCCTGCCATGCAGGGTGCCACAGGGGTTGGTGCTCTCATCTTTCCTATTTAACATCTACACAAGACTGCTGGGTGAGCTCATCTGTCGCCATGGGGTGAGGTATCTGTACATCTCCGCCCCTGGCAACTTAAGCGATGCTGTGGACGTCCTATCTTGGTGTTTGGAGGCTGTGAGGATCTGGATGGGGAACAACAGGCTTCAACTGAACCCTGGGAAGACTGAGTGGCTTTGGGTTTTGAGCCCCTCTGGTTCTAGGATTTTACCATCTTTGGTACTGGATGGGGTTGCACTGACCCAAAAAGACTCTGTGCACAATCTAGGGGTCCTCCTGGACCCATGACTCCTGCTCAAAGAGCAGGTGGCAGTTGTTGCTAGGGGGGCCTTTGCACAACTTTGTATTGCGCGCCGCTTGCGCCTATTCTGAGATCAGAGGGACCTACTCACAGTCACTCATGCCCTAGTCACCTCCTGGTTAGACTACTGCAATGTGCTCTACATGGGGCTGCCCTTGAAGAATATCTGGAAACTTCTAATAAGACACACATTACGCCTCTGCTTCATGAGCTCCATTGGTTATCAGTTTGTTGCCGGGTCCAATTCAAGGTGCTGATGTTGACCTTTAAAGCCCTTTGTGGCACGGGGCCAGCCTATCTGAGGGACTGTCTCTCTCCAATTTCATCTGCCTGTCCTACTAGATCCAGCAGAGAGGGCATGTTATGGGTTCCATTGCCTAGGGAGCTACATTTAGCAGGCCCTAGGCGGTGGGCCTTTTCTGCTGTGGCACCTGCACTGTAGAATCTTCTTCCCCATGAGGTAGGTTGGCCTCGTCACTGTTGAGCTTCTGGAGGTCCCTTAAGACTTGGTTATGCCAGTAGGCCTGGGGACCCCAGGGGATGGGGGAATTAGTGAGGTGGCTCTCTTATTTTTAACATCCTTTTATTCTTTGTTTTATTTTTATTTATATATTTTTAATATATTTATTGACTGTTTTTAGCTTTGCTGTACGCCACTCAAAGTTGCCTGTAGTGAGATGGATGGCTTTATAGTAGTGGTAGTAGTAGTAGTAGTAGTAGTAGTAATAATAATAATAATAATAATAATAATAATGTGGTGTCCTATTGATAAATTTATTTCATTAGAGAATTTCTATAAATACCAATTATTGGTGTCTTTTCAGCACTAGGTGGAGTCTTTCCTGGCTTTTAAGTATTAAATTGTTGGGGATGGTTTTTAACAGCTTTTTTACTTCCGACTCTTGCTATGATAGAAAATAGCAGTAAAATGTGCAGATTATTATAAATTACTCTACTTATATTGAAGAATGGCAAAAAATGATTCAAAAGAAAAAAATGTGTATTTTTAGGATGGAAATAAATATAGTCAGCTGTGCCAAAATAATAAATTATACTAAACCATTAAACTGTATTGAAATATTTATCTACAATTCTGAACTCTTTCAAGAGAAAGTGCATTTATAAATAAAATAAAAGCTGTTGAGTTATAGTAACATATACAAGAAAAATGTGTATCAGAAACAGTTGAAGCTTGGAGAATATAGAATTAAGTACAATATAAATGCATGATATATCTATTGTGAATCTATGTTTATTTATAATAGTCCTTTAAGATGTCTAGTATCTTTCTCAGACTTATTGTTAAACAATAAGTTGGTCTCTTCCATTATAACATTAATGGAAAAAACATTTAAAACATAGGCTCAACTACAAGAGCTGAAATTGGCAAGATGGGAATCAATTATTCTCAGGCCCAAAAGAATTGTTATATAGAACAAGTGTCTATAACTAACATGGCTTAGAAAAGATCAGCCCAAATCTATTGATTCTAAAAGGTAGGAGAAAAAGGCCTAGGATTTAAACCCTGAGCCTGACATTTTGACAGTTTTATTTCTATGTTTTGCAGTAGGCAGACCCTCATATATATAAAAATTCTTTTTTGCTTATAATGAAGAAACATATATTTCCATTTAAAGTCTCTAAAGCTTCTGCTGCTATTGAAAGCAGGGTTGAATTTCTGGAGAGTTAATTTGTATTGCTATGGTTGTTGAAGTACAACTTCTACCAGCATAAAGTTCCAGTAGAAGCTGAGTTACATACAAGTTTTATATTTTGGTATTTTTTATCAAATTAATTATGTTAAGCAAAATCCTACAAAAGAGAGTACATGACTTTTAAGTAACACGACAAAAATCATAGGACATAGTAATAAGCAGCATGTAACAATTAATGCAGTATTTCTCAATAATAATGGGAATGAAATGCAAATAGCTGCAACAAAAGAAGCATCATGTACAGTAATGATTTATTAGTGTCATGAGCACTGATGGAAGTACTTTCCTCTGTGCTTAGCGATAAGACATGAATTCTCTTGTGTTCAGGTTGAAATGTGGCATATGCTTTTTCAGGGAGAAAAAGTTCAGGCCAGAAAGAAACATAATTTATGACAAGAAACTATACTCACCGATTCATATTTAAATCTTCTCGCAATTCAATAACTGGAGGCTGGAACATCCCCATTTCAGTCAATAGGAGTCTCAATTCTTCTTTCAGAAGCTTTGGATATTCATCAGACAAAGTAATGCAATATAAAAGCCCTAAAGAGAGAAATATCATCATGAAACAAATATATAGGCTCTGCAGTTTTAGAATGTGAACCATTTTTCCAATTTCCCTATCAAGGAAAATGTAATTTAAATGATAACAAAATAAAGCTACCTGGAAGCCACAGAAGTAACACACAGTGATGAAGAAATGTTACATAGAAATTATTTTTTTAAAAATGCAAACCTTCTGCCCTATAAGCATCTGCTAATCATAATCTTTAACTAATTTTATGAATTGCAATAAACTATGAATTCTAATGAACTATTTTGATTTGAGGTTACAGAGAAAACAGCACTTTGTGGGAGAATTCTATCATAAATTTAGCTTTGGTTATTACATGATTTTGGAAATGTGTCTATATAAAGTAATTACAATATATATTATTCTTCAATCAAAATAATAGTATAGTATATTGAGTTTACAGAGGACTATTTACAATGGAAAAATAACTTACTTCTGCACAGTGAAAACCAATCAAATTAACAATACCAGCTGATGAAAAGTTTCATCATTCCTGTGCAAAATACATTATTATAGATGTGCCTGATGGGACTTGCAAAAGAAAAGAATCCCCCACACCAAAAGCATCTGTGACAATATAGTAAATCATTCCACACATTGTTTTGTGCTCACAACTAACAGAGTTGGAAGATCCTTTGTCCTAGAAACAATCCAATTTATCCTCTGGGGGGAATCTCTCTATTTGCATGTGTTCGGTCTCCCACTAAACAGATTTCAATAGGAATGAAATCTGGGTTACCCAGAGTAGGACACTGAGAACCTTTTATGAATTTTAGCAAAGAACAAAGAAGCATCGGATAATATTAAGATGGTGGGTGTGGGTGAAGAAAGAACTCTGGAGAAACTTATCTGAGAGAATGAAAAGTGTCTTGTTCTTTCATGAGTGTAACTATTCTTAAAAAAAGAAATCAAACCACACAAGAGATAAACAGACATAGATATCCACTACTTCTGTGAACAAAGCACAACCCATAAAATCTGTATTTTAATTCACAGCCATCACTCCCAATGAAATAAAGCCTTACATGTCTTGACAACTGTCATATACTTTCTGTTAGTTGTTCTCTTGCTGTCTTCCACAACTGCAGTTTTCTCAGAAGAGTGATCTGTTACTTTTATTTAAGTGTCATATATATTAATGGCAAAATATAAATAATACCAGAGAGACTACAAAGGAACAACCATAGCATTTTAATATATTAGGTGAAATGAACAAAATCAACTGCACCTCTAAAGGAGAAATATACATCAGAAGCATTCTGTAAAGCTAATTTTAAGACAACAACAAACATGTAATTTATTAAGATCCTTTAACAACATAACTAGTATTCATCTGTACTGTTATTTGTCAATACATTCAAAGGCAATGTTTTAGAAACTATATCCCTATACAGAACGCCAACTAATAAAAAAACCCCAACCCAATACAGAAAAATTGCATTTCTTCATAATTAAATAGCTAAACAGCAGATATCCCATGCATATGTTGTTTAAAACCACACTATAAAATATTGAAAAGTGTAAATAGTACAAAAATAAATGTGGCAGTCAAGTCTAAAATACTGTGAAACAGTCATATATTTTACAATATTGGAAAAAGGAACAATAAAAAAATACTTAGAAGCAATGATTAACAAATGTGACTCTCTAATATTATTCTTGTACTATTAATTTTATTAAATCTGTATTGTGCCATTTTTCCAAGGAGTTCACAGTAGCTCCTTTTAGTCTCCTAGCTGCTCCACCAGATATATACAATTGAGAGAACTTGATCAAAGCCAATCCAGTTTCTTAGCATTTTTCAACAATCACATAGAGGTATACTATGGCCTGGAATAAGATTGAATAAGTATATTTTATTCTCATATAAGACTGTATCTCAGTAGAGACTCTATATGATTCTGTTGGTTTAAGTACTGGCTTAAACAAATCTGGGGAGGCAATTCTGTAGCCCTGCAGTTCTCAAAAGTGTGGTCTGGGGATCCCTTGGGTCTCAGAGACCCTTTCAGGAGGTCTGTGAAGTAATATAAATAAATATTTTAAAATTTCTCAGTTTTAATTTTTAATACAGTAAATATAGATAGATATAATCCACATAAACAAAGCTCTTTGGAGTCCTCAATAATTTTTAAGAATGTAGAGGAGTCCTGAGACCAAAATGTTTGAGAACTGCTGCTCTAGCCCAACTAATTCTGATAGACAGATACCAGTCTTCTTGGAAGAAACAATTAATGAATGACCTGGCTTTTTGGGGGCTCACCCCCCAATTTGTGTCCAACACTAGGCTTGGATGACGCCTGGAGAGAGCACAAGCAAAGAATTTTAGATTTTGATTTACAAAGAAATAGAGCCAACACTTCTTATCTCTTGTACAATTCCCCAATTGATTGATTATGCACTATCAAGTCATTGTCAAGTCTTACCAACTAGATACATAGATTTTCTCCATGACAATCTTTCCCTAACCTGGTCTTTCAGGTTTTCCAATGTTGTACTCATTGCTACTGTAACTGAATCCATCCACCTTGCTGCTGGTCAACCTCTTCTTCTCTTTCCTTCCACCTTTCCCAGCATTAGAACCTTCTCCAAGAGATGCTTTTTGCATAATGTGTCCAAAGTAGGATAATTTGAGCCTGGTCATTTGTGCCTCGAGGAATAACTCTGTGGGTTGATTTGTTTTCTTGGCTGTCCATGATATTCTCAAGATTCTTCTCCAACACCAAAGTTCAAAATTGTCAATATTCTTCCTATCCTGCTTCTTCAAAGTCCCCAATACTTGGATCATTTATTAGTGCTGCCTCACAGAGGACTTTCACACTGGCACATCTGGATGCTCTCCCCTCAATGGTACTGTTGGATAGATGTAATTGTATTCCTTACCAAGAGCATTTGTATATTTGCTCAAACTTTGAAATTGAGATAGTAATGCACATGCGTCTGACATATCCTATCTACCACTTATGGAGGGTAGAATTAATCTCCTCTTTAAGTATAAACTATTCAGAGCACTCTCATATGAAAATCACGTGCAATATACTAAACAGTCAAGATTGGGAAGTCTCTAAAACTGTAGCCAAATTCTGTACCATCGCTATGACAATTAGACATTTTTGGACCTGACTGCATCCCCAGGACCCCTTCATGGATCACTGCCTTGTCGTGGCGAAGGGGCTTGCGTAACTCAGTGAAG